CGCCAGGACAAGGGGCAATGGGCACAACCTGAAGCAGAAGAGGTTCCAGTTGAACGGGAGGAAGAACTTGTTGACTGTGAGGGTGCCCGAGCCCTGGCCCAGGCTGCCCAGGGGGGCTGTGGAGTCTCCTTCTCTGGAGATCTTCAACCCCCGCCTGGCTGCTGTCCTGTGCCCCCTGCTCTGGGTGAGCCTGCTTGAGCAGGGGGGTGGCACTGGGTGAGCTCCCGAGGGCCCTGCCAACCCCTGCCACTCTGGGATTCTGGTCAGATCAGACTACTCAGGGATTCAGCTCTGCTGCTGATTTGCCATATTGTTGTACACTAAGTTCTCTGTGCCTAGTGAGAGGAGGATAAACATTTATCACGCACATTCTAAAGTAGTGCTGTGAATCAGTGTTTATGAAACATTTTTGGGCCTTTGCATGGAAGGCGCGATGTAAGTACTCTTAGTGATAGTAATACTGCTTTGATTCCTTCCTGCTCTTCTGGGTGACTGAGTATTTGAGCCTTTGGTAGCTCTGGATATAATTGTACTCTGAATCTTCTAGAATATTGCTATTTGTAGTAATTGCATCATAACTCATTAGCATTTCTCCACCGATTTCTTCTTGAGAAATCTGCATATGATGCATCTCTGGCTCTGTTTTCCCAAAATAAGACTGGTCCAACCTATTCCAAATTCTAATGTGAAATGAATGGGTTTTGAAAACTCTAAGTGCTAAGGGAGCGTTTGGGAGGAGGAAGTACTTCTGGGAAAGCAATTTCCTCCAAGTGGAAACTCAGTTGTACTTTATCCTTCTGTACACTCCTTTTATCCCCATTTGCCCAAGACTTGTTCAAGTTAAATTCTGTGTCCGAGGAAGATTCTTGCTGGCTTCAGTTGATAGTGAATTGTGCTTTTTTTTTCATTTTGTAATCAAATATTTTGGTAGAAGATTAAGATATGAAGCTACAGGTAGAAGAAACCCGTTCAGATGATGAACAGGTTTTTCTTGCGGTGTTGTGACAATGAATATGCCACTCCAGGTGTGTTGAAATGGTATGGAAAAAGGCCTAAATTCAAAGTTTGGCTGTAAGTTTTAATGAAATTGTTATCTTGGTTGTATTTTCTTTAGGTTGCCAGTCAATTTTCTTTTTCTTTTTTTTTTTCATGAAAGCAAGTTAAACAGTAGGCTTTGGGAACCAAGAAATTCTCATGTCAAGCAATTCCTCTGGCATGCTTGTTCGTAGAGTGAGGGAAGGCTGCGATGCAACTGCTGCGGTATAGAAAAAGGATTTTAATTTAAGTGGCTGACAAGTATACGAGAAATTAAATGATTTTGAGAGGAATTGCTCACCATAGGCTAAAGAAGGTCATTTTAAAGGGGAGAATGAAGAATAACATGCGCGGTTCGGTTGTTTAGTCTTTTGTTCATTGTGTGCATCTTGAATGCTGTCATTACTCATCCGTTCTAATATCTCTAGAACACCCACTTAATTAGCTATGCTCAGCATATCTGAATAAAATCAGTACCTTTTTTTCTTTTTTGGAATTAGTTTTCTAATCACAGTATGGGTCCTTTACCTAACGCTATTAATATCCAGTACCTAACGGGATTAATTTCCAGTTGGATTAATAAAATTGCCCTTTTCTGAAGATGCATATTGTAAAACTGAATTTCCAATAATAGGCCTTAATTAAATTACCAATAGCTACTGGAAAGCTTTGCCTTCAGAGCTATTGTCACGTACACCTCAGTGCTGCTTCTTTTAATGACTTGATTAGTATGAACAATAGGAACTAGGGGAATGCGCTAGGGACCGAATCTACGCATACAGGCTACAATTATTGTCTTTAGTCCTGATACAAAGGCCAAACAAACTTACTTTGTGCAGGGAATTAATCTGGAAGAGTAGTTTCTGCCTGGTTGAGTCCTAGTTTCATCGGTGTGATATACACATGATCAGTAATAAACATCTTCCTTTTCAGTGCTATAGCGTTTTTAAGCTTGGAGAATAATATTCTTGCCGTTCCAAGTGATTTACTTTATAATGCTGACCTGTATTGAAAGCTGCGTCGTGTTTTTATTTCAGTCATGGTAGTTTTTTGGGAGGGTTTAAGATGGCAAATAGCACTTAAATTCTGGAAATTGTTGTCCTTCCAAAAGTTAAAATTTGTGAGATTACTCTATGGAGAGTTTTTGTAACTGTGCCTGAAAAACGCAGAGCTGTTGCCCCAGTGACGTTCTTTAGTTTGCAATTGGCCATTTGAGCAAGTGGCTTATTTTAAAGGAAAAACTGTGCATTTAAGGGGTAAAAGGAAAAATCCTTAATTGGAACCCCATCTTACAAGGCAAGTGGGCTGCAGTTTCCAGGGATGAAGAGTGTAAGGGTTACCTGTGTGTGTCCAGAGAAGGGCAGCGGGGCTGGGGAGGGGTCTGGAGCCCCAGGCTGCTGGGGAGCGGCTGGGGGAGCTGGGGGGGTTCAGCCTGGAGCAGAGGAGGCTGAGGGGAGCCCTCCGGCCTCAAGTTGTGCCAGGGCAGGGTGAGGTTGGCCATGGGGAACAATTCCTTCCCCTTGGGGCTGTCAGGCACTGGAAGGGGCTGCCCAGGGAAGGGGTCGAGTCCCCAGCCCTGGGGGGATTTAACAGCCGGGCAGAGGCGGTGCTGAGGGCCAGGGCTTGGGGGTGGGATGGCAGGGGCAGGGGAATGGTTGGACTGGGGGAGCTTAAAGGGCTTTGCCAACCCAAACGATTCTGTGATTCTGTGTTGTTCACAGGCAGGATTGGGGCTGAAGCAAACTGGAGTTTGCGGTGCTTTGCTGGTGGGTCTCGGCAGTCCCCTGACTGAGTGCTCTCTAAAGGCAGGGGAAGTTCAGCCTGTCTTCAGCTCTGCATGTTCTCAGGCTTAGTAAGGGTGAAAATAAGCCGTTCACTGGACGCTTGGATGCCTGGTAATTGGGAATTAGAGGGAAGGCCCAAACTCTCTCTGTAGGTGACAACCCAGCCACTGGTGATTATTTCAGGTGTATTTTGTACAGGCGAGTCAAAATTGAAGGGGTTTTCCTCAGCTTATCTCTGAAATTTGTAAATCCACTGTTTCTGTGGCAGAATTAATGGCTTTTTAGGAACATAAGAGATGGATAAAGAGTAATTTGTGATGGCTGTAATTTATTTTGGTAGGTGGATCGAAGATGTTATGTTTTGTATAAGAACCACATTCAACTGAGGTGCCATAAATAGTCAAGAGGGAACTCACCTTTCTTAAGTTCCTACATGGACTAGCAATTTTGTAATCAATTAAAAAAAAATCTTATGCTTTTATTCACTTCCTTTCTAGCTTTTTAGTGCATAAGAAGAATGAAACAGAATTTGGGTGTCAATTTAGCTAATCTAGTAGGTAATGTTCACATTTAAAGAAAACAATCTCAAATGCTGAATTTTTATGTTTTTATTTTACATTGAAACAGCTCTGTGTTCTGGACTTTTCTCTAGGTTTGTATCTGATCTCAGAACGTATTTAATGTCTTCATGTAAACTCTCAGGGCTGTCTTTTTTGTGAGAAAGGTTGCAAATTATATGCTCAGTCCATCAAGGTAGAGCTGTACTACTGAATGGACATTTCCAAATTAATATTAGACCAATTTATCAGAAAATCTATTTAAAAGAAAAAATAAAAAAGACGGTTGTCACTGGAGGGCTTCATAACTGAAGTCATATATCCAACAGTGTTATAATTCTTCATGTAGAAGGCAGGCTTCTGGGTTATCATTTGCTTCTCTTGCACTGACCATCTCCTCTTCTCAGTCTGTGACCTTTTACTCCTGCTCTTTGCAGGCTGCTTGTCCACCCGCAGGGCTGTTGTAATTCTCATGGCAGCCAGGTACCACCAGACAGCAGGTACATCATTCATGGGACGGGATTAGGTGGCAGGGAGCTTCCCCCTGCCCCTGCTTGCGTTCACTGCAGTGTTCTTCAGGTCCCCCCATTTGCTGGCTTGGTCACTAAAAAATACTGCCAAAGGTAGCTTGGCTTTTAAAAAAAATATTATTAGTGAGTTAAATTGGATCTAGAGTTGACATGAGGAAGAAGATGAAGGCAGAGATGGGTATTAAAGAGGTGGGGGAGCTACAAGTCCTTCTTCTGGTTGAGGCTCCATGTTAAATTGCTGCATATTACCTGATATTCTCCACTGATAGTCTGTAGGATTTTTTTAAGCCCATAACTACTTCCCTGGAACATTTTTGTTTGGGCTGAATCTTGGTGTTCCAGAAATGCCTATTTTCACAATTATATACCATTGTGTTTGAACCTGGCTGTCTGTCTTGTCTGGGGAAAGCTGTACAGTTGCTGTGACCTCAGGTATGGGATACTATAGGAGAGAAATTTCATTCTGACTGTGGAACAGCTTTCTCTGTTACCTTGCGGGGGAAAAAAAGATGTTACAGCTGCTTTTCTGGGCAGAAGTCCAGTTTAACTTCAATTCATGCCCTCAAAGTGTGTCAGGTATTACTAAATTATAATTTAGAAATCAATCTAAACTTGCCTTAAGCTATTTACATAAGATGCCTTTTAAAATGTAGTTTACAATATTGATACAAGTAAAAACTTTCTGGTTTTAATAAAATTATAGATCAATATATATAAAAAAATTACTGTTAAAAACCCCAACAACCACTGTTCATAAACCAGACAGGAAAAATGCCAGAACCTGACTTTGACCCAGGTGGAGTCTTTTTAGTATTTTGTGATTTACTCAGGAGTGCATGTGCATGGGTTGGAAATGAGAATCAAATTTCTGGCCCTCAGAAATGATTTGCTAATGTGCTAAATTTTAGGACTCTGGGTGGAATTTAGGCCACTGCCTAAGTCCCTTGAGGTAGACGCCCAACTTTTGGCATTGGGGATGGCTTGAGTATTTTATATCTTTCATTGTCCTTTACTTAAATACAGACACATGTTGAAATACCAAGAATTTTTTTTCTGTTTTAAAACCACATATTGTTTCTTCTAGCCTATTGCAACGACTCCACCGCACCATGGCTGGAAGGAGGAATCCTTAAGCCACAGCAGTAGCGAAACCCAGGCATCAGTTACCAGTGGGATCTCCCTAGGAGAAGCAATACGTCAGAAAACTGCTGTTAATTGGGTATTTGTACTGCGCTTTGTTTTGGTTGTTGGCTGAAGGTTAATTATGTGATTGAAAATAAGATGAAGTGCTTTATCCGTATAGTTTAGACCTCCACCATCCTTGCCCTGTAAAGTTCTGTGTGTCTGTATTTTGGAACTGCAGAAAAATACAACTGTTGTGAACTCTGACAAGTTATCTAGTCTAGTCTTGACCCCTTCCTGCTTCCCCCCTCTTCTGTTTTCTGGTTATAGACCTAGTATATTTTCCAGTGTAGTGTTTTCTTCTTTGCAGTAGTACCTTTGATCTGTATTCAGTTTGTAATTTGCTGTAAACCTGGTCCTGCTACTGCCTCTTAAATTGTCAGCTCTGTCTACCTCAAAATAGCCAATTTACATGGTAGCGCAGAGCCATGCTTCAGTTCACGTAAAATCTGTCTACTTTTAGACCTTAGTTTTAATGACGTGTTCCATATGTGATGGAGGAAAACTGTACTCGCATCGTGATAGTTCTACCTGATGGATATGCTGCCAAATATTTAATTACTCTGAGAATTACATAGGATCACAGGTGTTTTGAAAAGACTGAGTTGATAGAAGATTTTATTTCCAAGTGACTATAAAAATCTTGTGCAAAAACTATAGTTCATGCAGCAAAATTCTGATGTGAAAAGTAGCTTTTAATAGGAGTGTTTCAGAAGGTAGCAGAGCTTGCAGCTATTAAGTAGGGATACTACGGTACTTCTACCAATTCACCGGGACACTTTCTTCCTTACATTAACGTATATGTAATTATAAGTTAGATATGCTGATGATAATGGTTTTCCTTATAAATTATTTGTATTGTTAATTCTCTGCACTGAAGACTGGTTTGTGCCTTTTCTATAATTACAATTTATCTGTTTTATTATTTACCCAGTAATCCCAATGTAAATTCTTTAATGAATTACTTGAAATAAAGATGCTCCTTTCCATTTGAACATGAACTGAAAATCTTTTTCTTAAAGTATACCGAAGAGTTGGCTAGGCTTTGCAGGCATTATCCATGTGAACTCAGAATTTCTGTAACTAAAAACTTATTTTTAAGACGAATCAGAAACTGTTCTGCTTGTTAATCCCCAGTCGTACAATGCCAACCATCTTTACTACGCAATGTCAGGAGCTCTGTTGGCCCAGCGTCCTACTGAAGTATTTGTCCTCAAGAGTTTTCTTTCAAAGTGAGAGATTTCATTCTGGTTTGGAAGAAGTCTTCTGCAGTGGTGGGATTTGGAGATGGAGCTCAGTTTCAGAGAAGTGATGGAAGGCTGGTGATCAGCTAGATGATGACAACTTAGGCAGTAATGAGAACTGACTGTGGACTTCAGCAGTTCATAGTGCATCGTAATTCGTTTACATTAAAACCTGAGTATTTGTATAGGAAATACAATTTTGAAGCAATAATCCCATTGTTTCACAACTTTAGTCTTTATTTCCTTTGGAAATATGTCTTGTAAAACTTTCTTGATGCTTGAGCACTTTTTTTTTTTTCTCCCCACCTGTTCTTAGGGAATCGAGTCATGGTATCAACTTCCAGCAGAAGTGGATGCCAGCCATTTAACTGCTGCCTCGGAGACAAAGCTTGGCCTGACTTGTGATAAGAATGACCTGACGGAGTTCCCTACGCTGGAGGAAGGAGCGTTGCCTTCAGCAGAAGCGTCTAGAAGGCACTCTCCTGGAGGTACAGCACATGGCCTACTGCTGGGTATGTTCAAAGTTGCCTTTTGTTTACCTGCTAAACAATTAGGATTTTACTTTTCCTTTTAAATCGATCCCTAACCTCGATTTGACTTTTTAGTGAGAACCGGTGTTTTCAAAACACATTCTGTGTAATTTTATTGCCAAAGCCCATCTTCAAAATGATAGAGGGCTTGCGTACCTTCCCTGGATCTTTTAACACGTAAACTGATTATCTTTAGTCTGAGGTACAACTGTAGTCTTGTTTTTCTTTAGAATTAATAGTAAACCTGAGTAAAGTTAGAAATTTTGGGGATTCTGTCTAGGTGAGGCAATAGTTCTGTGTCCTTAAAATCTATATTAATTTGTTAGTCAAAAATCTTAATTAATTTCAGAATAGTAGATATAATAATAAAGTAGATATAATTGTATTGATAACATGAAAACCTGTTTGATAAGAGTGTGTGCATGCTTGTACCGCTTTCTGATGTATTCAGACTATGGTGTACTGCTTCTGTGTTTCACTGCTTCTTACAGAATTTCTTTATAGACAAAGTAATCTCCAAATACAGTTTTAGAAGGTTTTCAGTAGCCCTTTACAAAGGTGTCTTGTAAGTGTTACTGCTCTTTAAGTAAATCATATAAGTATTCCTTTTCAGATAAGAGGAAAAACTCAGGAATTACAGGTTGAAGTACTGTACTAGTGCAAGATTTAGAATCACAGAATCATAGAATGTTTTGGGTGGGAAGGGACCCCCAGAGGTCACCCAGCCCAACCCCCCTGCAGGGAGCAGGGACATCTCCAACCACATCAGGTTGCTCACAGCCCCGGCCAACCTGGCCTGGAATGTTCCCAGGGATGGGGCCTCCACCCCCTCTCTGGGCAACCCCTGCCAGGGTCTCACCACCCTCATTGTAAAGAATTTCTTCCTTATATCTAGTCTAAACCTACCCTGGTTTAGTTTAAAACCATTACCCCTTGTCCTGTCACAGCTGGCCCTACTAAAAAGATTTTCCCCATCTTTCCTATGGGCCCCCTTTAGGTATTGAAAGGCCGCAATCAGGTCTACCCGCAGCCTTCTCTTC